GAGAGAGGAGGCTTCAGAGGAGACGGGGAGAGAGGAAGCTTCAGAAGAGACGAGGAGAGAGGAAGCTTCAGAGGAGTGAAGGAGAGAGGAGGCTTCAGAGGAGACGGGGAGAGAGGAGGCTTCAGAAGAGACGAGGAGAGAGGAGGCTTCAGAAGAGACGAGGAGAGAGGAAGCTTCAGGGGAGATGGGGAGAGAGGAGGCTTCAGAGGAGACGGGGAGAGAGGAGGCTTCAGAAGAGAGGAGGAGAGAGGAAGCTTCAGGGGAGACGGGGAGAGAGGAGGCTTCAGAAGAGACGAGGAGAGAGGAAGCTTCAGAGGAGACGAGGAGAGAGGTAGCTTCAGAGGAGACTAGGAGAGAGGAAGCCTCAGAGGAGAAGAGGAGAGAGGAAGCTTCAGAAAAGACGAGGAGAGAGGAAGCTTCAGAGCAGACGGGGAGAGAGGAGGCTTCAGAGGAGACGAGGAGAGAGGAAGCTTCAGAGGAGACGAGGAAAGCGGAGGCTTCAGAGGAGACGAGGAGAGAGGAAGCAGGGAGAGAGGAGGCTTCAGAGGAGACAAGGAGAGAGGAAGATTCAGAGGAGAAGAGGAGAGAGGAGGTTTCAGAGGAGACGAGAGAGAGGAAGCTTCAGAGGAGACGAGGAGAGAGGAGGCTTCAGAAGAGACGAGGAGAGAGGAAGCTTCAGAGGAGACGGGGAGAGAGGAGGCTTCAGAGGAGACGAGGAGAGAGGAAGCTTCAGAGGAGACGAGGAGAGAGGAAGCTTCAGAGGAGACGAGGAGAGAGGAAGCTTCAGAGGAGACTAGGAGAGAGGAAGCTTCAGAGGAGACGAGGAGAGAGGAGGCTTCAGAGGAGACGGGGAGAGAGGAGGCTTCAGAGGAGACGAGGAGAGAGGAGGCTTCAGAGGAGTGGAGGAGAGAGGAGGCTTCAGAGGAGACGAGGAAAGAGGAGGCTTCAGAGGAGTGGAGGAGAGAGGAGGCTTCAGAGGAGTGGAGGAGAGAGGAGGCTTCAGAGGAGACGAGTAATCACTGGTGTGTAGAATCTGAATGATAAATGAATCATGAAAACTTTGTTATTTTTGTTGTTGTTTTTCATAAACAATTGCCAACATAAATAAAAGTCCTTCAGACAGAGAGGATAAAGGGAGGCGAGTGAAACAGGATGATGGCTTAGACATCTGCTGGGGAGGAATTCATTCCCTAAATCACTGTCATTAAGGCTTGAATCATAGACAGAGAGGGCTGGGGGGGACAAGCCTGGACATGATGGCTGCAGACAGAGAGGAGGTCAGAGAAGACGAAAGGATCCAAAGAGCAGAGAGGAATTACTGAATGGAATGAAACAAAGAGGAATGTCAGGCTGTTTGGACACCAGCATGCGTATTCATCATGGTGGCAGATAGACAGCCTGTAACATAAAAGTAGGCCTGACTTAGGGATGAGGCCGAGCAAAGGTGGAGAATGGAAGGGGAGATAAGAATGCTTTCCCAAGGTGGAGGAGATGGGAGAGATATGAACAGGGAGATAATCTCTGGGGGAACAACAGCGGTCTTTATTCAGCACACCATGATGAACAGCATCCACTGATACGATCAAACAGGATTCTCTTCTTCACAACACTTCAATGTGAGTTTCTGCTTCGAAGTTTTGTCTTTTCTCGGTGTTGCTTTCCTCTACTGTCTGAATGTACTTTTCCTCTCTGTTTCTCTGAGAACAGAGGAAGGGAATCGAGGAAAAGGGCCCTTCTTTTGTTTTTTATGGTAAACAAAGGATCTGAGTAAAGCACTGGATAGAGCAAAACAATCATTTCACTGTGAACGCCCACTACCGCACATAAGCCTGGTATTTACAGCGGTAACACTGATGACAGCAGGGAGGTTCACATGTGCTCCGAGCTGCAACTGGCCCAAATATATGCAACAAATATTTCTTTGAACATGTATTGAAAAGTGGAGGTTGTATTTCATATGGAACCTCCATTTATTGACAGCAGCGGATGCTCTCTATGAATGGAGTGAAGACCCATCTCTATTCTATGACACCTTAAGGGTGCAGATCTGTCCAGAACGTTTAGAACATTCAACAAATGAGCTAAGATTATCAACAGTTTGTGAAGAGTTTAGAGTTTAGTATTGTGTTGCATGTCTACTGATATGAGTACGCTAACCAGCTAGCTGCGCCCCATCCTGTCGTGTACCACTTGTACCTGGAGAGGCGATAGTGAGTCACTGTAGCGTCCAGTCTGTCCTCAGTCCAACATGAGAGGACGTAGAGAGCTGCCCCGTCACGTTGAAGGTTCAGGGTGTACGTTTCAAAAGTTTGGATTCAATTCAAAGTGGCAGAAACTAGGAAACACCGCATGTTTCCATTTCATCCTCACCGCCACCAGGAGACTACTTCTCCTAGAGAAGAGCTAGAAGAGGTACGGAACTTCAGTTAGCAGTTAGCTTGCATTCAGCCAGTGCAAACTCCAGCACTGGAGCTCTGAACCTGGGAGACTGCCCCGACATCCTGCTGGATCAGCACACTTTCTGTTGCTGCCGTTGACTAATTCTCTGATAAGAGTAAAGGAGACGAGGGGGAAATCCCACCAGGCGCCTTGAAACAAATGTCTCCTGTGTGTTAAACCACTCACGCTCGAGTTTTTGAATCTGCACTGTACAAGATTCTCGTGTAAACATCCAGTTGCCTCATCAGACTTAATCAAACTGGGATTGGAACAAGACAGGACATCACATCCATCCATGTAACTGACATGTTAAAGAAGTACAAATGGTTTGCATGGAGGTCAAGGAGGTCTTATATGGTTTACGTGCTGTACAACAACGGGTATTTGGGGGAATAATTTGGGGTTCAGTGTCTTATCCAAGGAGACTGTGAAATGTGGACGGGAGGAGCTGGGGATGGAACCGCCAACCCTATGATTAGTCAAAGGAGAAAAGTTAAATATGTATACATTCAAAGTCTAAATTCATCGCATGCATTATTAAAATCACCGTTTTACACTTAGTGACATAAGTCCTTAATCACAAACTAACAAGCTGTAGCTTAGTTGACAAAATTGTCTACTGTGTTCACTGACCATCCTCTGACCTCCCAGCTCCCCCACCACCTAGAAGCTGTCCAATAGAACACGAATAGGGAGGCGTTTGACCTCCAATATAATGGTATTCATTGTGACATGTTTCCTGTAAATGTGGCGCTGAGACACAGACTTTGTTTTTATAAGAAGCAGGAGCCAGCTGAGAGGAGGCCGACTAAAAATAGCTTGCTCAAAAAGTCAGAGTGGCTTTTAACACAAAGACACACAACGCATGGACACAAGTTTGTTCTCCATGTGGAGCAACTAACACAATGAAAATAGGGAAAATATGCAGGTGTAGTGGTAAAAATATAATATTTGTGTTGATTTGTGTATTGCTGTGTGTGTGTGTGTGTGTGTGTGTGTGTGTGTGTGTGTGTGTGTGTGTGTGTGTGAAGCTCAATACAACAGGAAACCATTTCAATGGGTGTGGCTGCTAGGCTCATCTGCTAACCTTGACTTGTCTTCCTACAAAGGTTCCCTGTCATCATTTGTTAAACAGACCTTTGTGTACACACACACACACGCACACGCACACCATCTCTCAAAACAGAACCTAGAATTGTGTATCAGTGTTTTGTGCAGTATTTCATATCAGTAAAAACAGTAGTAGCATAATAACAGGAGTATAAATACTGTAAACATTGAGAATTACCACAAGGGCCCTGTTCAAAGTGGCATTAACATGCGTCACAAGTGGACGGCTCTAATCCGTCCGTCTGGTGCTTGAACTCCACTGCTGAAGGAATGAGGCCATATGCTGCTCAGACCACCTCTGAATGTGATCCGAGTGATCAGACCTCAATGTGTCCTGGCTGCATTCACAGCTGTACTTAGAGCTGTCCACTTCAGATCAACCCAGAGGCATGTTGATGCCATGTGAACAGGGCCTGAGATGAGCTTCTAGCATCCTCTGTACTGCGTCAACATTGTACTGCTACATCCAGCAGCAACATTGTTTTCGACTTGCCACATACATTGATTCACAACATTTCCTCATTACGTTCTTAGAAAACATGGTGTAGTCACCACCCATGGTTTCTAGTTTATGCATTTATACTGGTGTAGGTTATATTTTCAGCGATGCCTTGTTTTATAACACAGGCAGCTGCTTTATGGTTTATGGCACAACACAATGTTGTTCATCCTGTACACATGACATCTATCACACTTCTGTCCATCCTGATAGAGGGATCCCTCCCCTGTTGCTCTCCCAAAGGTTGCTTTTTTTTCTCCCTGTTAAAGGTTTTTTTCTTCTACCGATGTGAGGGTCAAAGGTCAGAGGATGTCACATGTATACAGATTGTAAAGCCCTCTGAGGCCAAATAAACATACAAAATAAATGAATTGAATTGAATAACAGAATGTTATTCTCACAAATGTAGGAGTAATATCTATATGTCATATATAATGGATTCTGATGTACAGAAACCTGACTTTTAAGAAAGATACAGCAGAAAGCTAGAAGTAACCTGTTTACTTAAGTGCATGTAAACACACTGTTTGCAGTGGTTTCTACTGCCGCCAAGAGTTTACCACAATGACTAGAGTGTGAACATATTCCCACAGCACTGATCTCACTGTGATCTGGTTAATATGACGGCAGCTTGTATGAATTAAATCAGTGTTTACAATGCGTGTAGTGGTCTTGGCATGACGGTGGTCGTAAAAAAGGGACAGATGTTGCATGTTGCAATGTTTACAACATGCAAATACAGACTACACAACAAAAACACACACACACACACACACACACACACACACACACACACACACACAGATGACTCGTGAATGCCCCTGATCCTATTTCACTGTTTTGATATTTAGCCACCACCTTCCTGCCCTCTGTTTCTGATGACAGACACGCCTGCAATCATTTATGGTTATAAATTATAGCACAATTTAAGCACTCCATTAAAACATCTTACCTTTTTGTTTCTTCTTTCCCTCTTTCCATGTGGGCATGAGCATGGTCACAGCTGGACACCCAAATTCAGATGACAACCCACCATTGCTTTGGGCTGTAGGGGACTGGGTCACAGCTACTGGGGCGGTATCAGTAACAGCATGCTGGGAGAAGGAAGCAATCCTCTGTAAGATTGAGCCTACACTATCTCTGGCATCACCAGGGTCATCCTCCACAGACCAAATGGCTCTGGGGCTTGAGGGGCTGGAAGGGTTAGGCAGGTTGGGGACCACCTGAACAACTTGGGGCCCAGAGAAAATCTTCTGCTGGGGGCTCCGGGCAGGAGAAAGGGGCTCTGGGGAGCAAATCATCTCTGGGACAGGGATAGAACCCTCAAAAAGAGTTACAGAACGTGGGGAGAAAGGCAAAAAGGGATGGTGGAGGGAGAGGGGAGGGGTGTCAGAGGCACCGTCCAGGCTGTTTAGAGAGGCTGAAGGGCTGGCCGAGGTGGATGGTGAACTGGTGTGATGTTGGAGGCCTCCTGTTCTCCTTGTTGGAGGCATGGCGGGGTTGGGGTTTAGGGATCGTCCTTGAATCTTGGTGGGAGAATTGGCTGAGGGGCTGCTTACCAAGCTGTCCAGATCCAAGGGAAACCTGTTAAGACGTAAAGTCTCTTTGGCCTTGGGCAGGGGAGCCTTGAGGACCTGGGTCCCTAGCGGTTGGTAGTGGTTTTTGGGGCCACAGTAGTCCTCTTCCCCAAAGGAACTGGCATTATGAAGACGAGCATTCCAGTTTGCATTAGCATTGGCATACCTTAACCCTGGAGACATCCTGCCTCCACCTCCGCCTCTTTGCATACTGACCATTCCTCCCCCTCCATCACAACTTTGGAGGTCTAGGCTGGGCATGGAGCCATGGTTCACCCCCCGATGCTCTGGTACACCCAGCATCATCCCTGGCCCCTGGTCCATCTCGGAGTGGAAAACACTCCCATGGGAGGAAAACTTCTTCAAGTTAGGGTTGTTTCCCAAGTTGGCACCTCCCTCTCGGTGCTGTTGTGGGAGCTGGGGCTGGGTTCGGTGGTACTCCCCCTGAGATGGAGGGCTGCGATATGACCCCAGCTTAGTAAGAGGGAGGGCACTCCCACCTCCCCCAGAGTACTCCAGGCTGGACGTGGAGCTGTGAAGGCTGTCGTTGTCACTGCCTGGCCCAGACAAAATGGAGTAACCGTTGGGGTTTAACCTGTTCTGGAAGGATGCAGCTCTGGTCACAGCAGATCCGTTGTTGTGGATGGCTGACTTGTTCATGGTTCCTCGGTTGAAAGAGCGGCTGGTGACTACACCACGGGACTTGAGCCCTGGGCTGGGAATGGAACTGAGGCTGATGCGGGAGTGGTGGGCAGTGGAACCCAGGCTGTTGTTGTTGTTGTAGGCTAATGACGGGGACTGGCCACCTCCTCCCAGCTCCTCACTGGCTTCGTTGTGGTGGAGGAAGAAATGGGAGGACGAGGGAGAAACGGGTGTGGAGATGGGTGAAGCTGAGGAGAAGGATGGTATGTCATCCACATCTTCGATGTCGAAGGATCTCTTCAGAGCTGCAGGTGGGAAGAAAACAAATACACGAGTTGTTAATAGAATGTCTAGCTATTATCTAACCAGTGAGTCTTGACATATGTCAAATGCTCTAGGAGTCAGTGGGGACTCACACTGTCCATTTGTTGAAATAGAAGGGTATATGTTAGGGATGTTTTTAACAATTAATTTCCCTGATGTTTAAATGGAAGTTGAAACTTAGAATAGTCGACTAGTCTAAAAGTAATTAGACACTCAAAAAACAGTCAAAACTGAGCACAGATTGCCTCACAAACCTGGTGTGTATTGTAATATTTGATCGACCAGTTGCAGGGACTGCGGTCTAAGAAGAGTCATGGTTTGGCATTACTTATATCAGTGGTTCTCAAACATTTTCTGTCGCGCCCCACTTTGGAGGAAGAAAAATGTTCATGCCCCACCGCCCCAACAAAATTGCAACAAAATGGTCCATGTTGAACTTTTATTGAAATAACATTTTGTGACTCCTCTGTCTGTGCTTTTTCAAATAATAGAATAAAGAAAATTGCAATCACTTTTAAGTAAACCAGATTACTCCATCAGACAAAAACAAATAAAATGTGCAATCACTTTGTTAAAACAATGCAAATAAAGTTATATCTGTGCAAAAAGGAACTACAATTTGGCAAAAAGCCTCCTGTGGACAGGTGTTGTAAATTAGCATTTCGCTTCAAACACTTAACACAGTGCATCTGGGCTTTGTGCATAAATGTATGTTACAATTCTAATGCTACTGTGATGTCCATATCAAATAAAATAAACATAACATTATTATGAGATAGTAAGTCATTATTATGAGATAGTATCTCATTATAATGACTTACAGGATCTGTATTTTCCTCACAGTGGCGGAAACAGGCTTCCATACATTTCGCCATGTATTTATTAATTACTTTTAAAATTAAAAAAAATTTAAAAATATATATATATATATATATATATATATTCTGCATTTCCCCCTGCGCCCCACCTGTAATACCGCCGCGCCCCACAGTTTGAGAACCACTGACTTATATCATGAATATCTTAGCATGCATGTTTGATTCATTGAGCTACCTGGCGATATTGATTCATAGCATGCTAGATCGCTAACTTTGGTCTGTAGCTTTCGAGCTCGCTAGTTTCAAGGTTCTCCTGTAGATCAGGAGAGAACCAAACTGACTGCTGAACCCAGCCGCTTTATCGGAAAGAGGCTGTGGTGGCAGGTGGGGGCTGATGATTTCAGATCAGAGCTCCTGCAGCACGGCGGCTCCCCCACAACAACAGCTGAGGCAGCATATGTTAATATGCAATATTCAAATGTGTACATTAATAAAACAATAAGTTTGACCAATTACTATTTCTTGTGCCGACTAGCGAAGGTGACAACATTTAATCCACTAGTCGAGTAATCGTGCACATCCTTAGTACATATCATGTAAGTGGTGACAGGACCAGGCCCAGACAACATGTCTCCCTCATGTCACCCCCTCCTGTCGCCATCTTCACATAGGTCTTCAACAGATTACTTGTCCCCTCCATCACTGGATCAAATTACTAAAGATGTCACCCTGACATCTGTGGTCATGAAATCTTTTGAGAGACTAGTGTTGACCCACCTTAAGGACAACACAGGACCCCTGTTTGACCCCCTGCAGTTTGCCTACCAGGCAAAAAGGTCAGTGGATGATGCAGTCAACATGGGACGGCACTACACCCAGAACATACCTCGACCCTGCAGGGACAAACGCAAGGATCCTGTTTGTGGACTTCAGCTCGCCATTCAATGCCCTCATCACAGCTCCAAACTCACCCAGCTCACTGTCCCAGCTTCCACCTGTCAGTCTGTCTGTTTGTGCACATATGAGTAAATACTGTACATGCATAGCGCTTTTCTAGTCTTCTGACCACTCAAAGCGCTTTTACACTAAGCCTTTAGGTTTCTGAGATCAACCATCTCCCAGAACCTCATGTGGACTTGTAACATAGATGCCATCAAGAAAAAGGCCCAGCAGATGATGTTCTTCCTGATCCAGCTCAGGAATGCTGTGTGTGTGGACACATACACTCTACAGTATGTGAATGTGTGTCTCTGCTCAGAAGATCATATTAAATCTATCTCTCTCTTTTGGTTTCTAGGTCCTGAATGATGTTAGCCAGTTGCCTTTGTATGGGAACAGTGTCCCCTTCCTTTGTTTAGCGCACACGCACACGCACACACACACACACACACACACACACACACACACACACACACACAC